CCCGTGGGAATAAAAGATTTTCCTGTAGTAAATGGTATCCTAAATAACACGAGTACTATGTTTCGACATAATATGTGTGTAGTTTCGACACATTTAATTGAAATTCATTCAGTACTTTTTGTATGAAAAATAAACAAATAGACGTACATAAAAACGGACAAAAATTTCAATAACTATTTTTGAATCACATAATACTTTTTTTAGATAGATTTACGCGAATATTTGAAATTATAAAATTATCTTTTCGGATTTTTTAGCGGATTTTTGATTTTTGGTTCCCGACATTGAAATAGGCACATTAATATCCTATAAAACAAACTTCAATCTCGTATTCTGCTTTAGTTGAACACTGACATGTTTCTAACAAATCAATGTTCGTATTTAGTTGTTCAAATTGATTCTAATTTCAATTGGTTAAAATCTTACTAGAATTTTGAATACTTACCTAAAATTATAAGAAAAACGAATAAATTTACATGAATTTATTAATAGCAAACATTTATTACTTATATATTTGTATTCAGCCCTTTTGGGACATTATCCCACTGCTGGGCACAGACCTCTCTTCAATACGAGTGGGATCAGGCCATAGCCCACCACGCTGGTCAAGTGCGGGTTGGCGCACTTCAAATGTCTTTTGAAAACTGGCTAGGTTCTCTCAGACTAGCAGGTTTGCTCACGATATTTTCCTTCACCGTTTATACTATATTTACTACTGTCTAAGTAAAGTAAAAGTATTACCCAAGTAATGAAAGATAACTATTGACCTTTTAAAAGTACAGAAAGTCTATTCTTCCATTACTTTTGTAACTTCTACCAGTTCCTTAAAGTGTTAGCTGTTTATGAGTTTCCAAACTAAACAAGAAAAAGTTTAGCCGCAATTGAAACTTACAAATGGAATGCTCGACTTTACTTATATTGGAAAGGTTTATTACATTGATGTACTAGCGGCTCACCCTCGCTTCGCTCGGTTTTATCTCTAGCTTGCTTCCTAATACAAACTTTCATCCCTATTTTCACCCTTTTAAGGAACGATTTTCGGGATAAAAAATATTTTACGTCTTTTCCAGGGTCTCAATTATTTCCCCCCAACGTGCGTTCACCTTGTCGTGGTAGGGGGGCTCAGTAGTGCCCGGCAACCCAACCGGGCGCAAAGCCAAGAAACGCACAGGGAGGTTGCCCACTTCGGTGGGCGGTGGGAGGCGGCCCTCTTCGGAGGGCGGTGTGCCATGCGGGTTGCTCCTGGTACTTCTCTGATAGCAGAGTGGACTGTGGAGCAACCCCGTGGTTTTTGTGGTCTGCTTCGGCAGACCTGCCGTCGGGGCGTCGTAGTTGAATGCGTAAGCGATCCTGCGACGCCCCATTAAGACGGGGGAAGGCTTTGTTGGGTTTTAGTGGGTAGTACTGGCTTTGCCGGTGAGTCCCACACCTCGTGCGTAAATGCATTTCCCAACGTTAAAAAAAAAAAAAAAAAAAGGTCTCAAATTATCTTCTTAACAAATTTCATCTAAATCGGTTCAGTAGATCCAGAGATTACCCCCCACAATTTCACAAACTCACAAACTTTACATCTTTATAATATTTGTCTAGATTTATGTAGCGGTAACACCCACTTAACAAAACTGTAACACTCACTGACATATACCCAGGTTAATTTAATGGAAGCATGACATTTTATTTAGGAGTTCCTCATATAATTACGGGTAGACTTTAACGAAGTCTTGTTTAGACTTGGGAAAGAAAAAAGATGGACTTATGGATATAAGCGGATAATTGGGGTTGTTAGTTTGTATGGATATTCATCATTTATAAAGTAAAATACCTATATGGAAATTAATGATTACACTTTCTTTTATATTGACAATTGAAAATCCTGTCGGTATTAAAGATCGTCTTTATGGAATAGTACATGTATCCTACTAATATTATAAACGCGAAAGTTTGTAAGAATGTATGTATGGATGTATGTTTGTTACTCTTTCACGCCAAAACGGCTGAACGTATCTGGATGAAATTTGGCACAGAGATAGATTATAGTCTGGAATAATACATAGGCTTTTTATTCCGGAAAAACATACGGTTCCCGAGGGATAGATTTGTTTTTGTTTTCCTACATATAAAAAAACCAATACTCATAGACTATAACCACATTTATAATAGTTAAGATCTCTATACTTTATCATCAAGCTTAAACCTTGGCTGATATTATAAATACGAACGTAACTGCCATCTGCTTTCTATAAAGGCTGTTATTGTTTAAGCATTTTTTTTAATTAATAAAATAAGTATTAGTTTTAAAATAATAAAAATAGAGAAACACGCAATGTTCATAGTTCTGCATATTCACTAATCATTCATACATTTATAGGTTGTAAACAAATCCTCATTCAAAATCCCGGTACCTAAGTTAACCGACTGTATAAATCCGGTTTGAATTTATTTAAGTGTAAAATTAGATACAAACCATATAATTTGAATACATTGGAAAACAATCTTATATTAAAATTAGGATTTCCCGCGGCTCCGCCCGCGTTCAGACAAAAAACCAAATTCTTAGGTTTTACATATTAGTATACTCTTACATTGCAGTTTTTGAATTTTTTCTCAGAAATGAGACATTTTCCCGTGGTGAAAAGTATCCTATATGTTGACCCGGATAAACCAGCTATCACCATACCAAATTTCATCAAAATCCCTCCAGTGGTTTATTTGTGATGCGGTAACAGACAGACAGACAAGAATTCTAAAAACTCTAGATTGGGCCTCTGTATCGATAATAATGTTTATTTCAATAAGATTTAATGTACAGATTCGGCTTAGTTACAATTTTATTATATGTACCTATAGATATAAGAGAAATTATGTGATGTAAAATTACGTACTGACTTAAAAATTAAATATAGCGTAACCTGTATGTATTTATTATAGCTATTTTCTGAAAATTTTCTTTTTTACAATATAATAGAAATCATGTCGTTTTATCACATTACCATACTTACAATATTAGAAAGGATATAACTTAAATCCTGAATTGATACAATGGCTTTTTCTGCAAGCTTTCTGTTTTTTTTCCTTAGCCAAAATTATTTTATATACATACTTCTTTGTCATTTTAATAGCGAATCACTTGATAATAGCTAGATTAAGTCTTCATAGACTACAGCTAAAATTTCCCGTGCAGACATACCCATATTAAATATACTTCATGTCTCGCGGTTAAGTGTTTAAAAGAAATATATACACAGGCGTAGCCGTAGGCAGTTCCTAGTTAAAAATAATATTTGTCATGATACTTTTACACTATATAATTATAAATTTCCTCATTGATAATACCGATGTCCGATGGGCAATGGCGTTTTAGACAAACAGGCTAACAAAATGAAGATAGCATTCCTATAAGCTAATTTTAGGCTTAATCAGGCACAAAATTCTTAAAGTTAATGCTGTATACCCGAGTATAGCATTTGTAAAGATCTCTATGATTAGATTCTATATTATTGGGTTTACTGCTGTCGTGTCACACTTACTTGACAGCGCTATTTACCTCATTTTATTTTATGGGCGAATTTACGTTCCATTTTCCGTTTTACATTTGACAATACAATTGGGTAAAGTCAATATATAACTTAGTATTATAATTATTAGGGGCTATTGTACAATTAAATTTAACGCAGGTGAGCACAGCTAGTTTTTTTTATATTGTCACGTTTCATATACATTTTAAGATAAAACAATTTCTCCTTTTAAGATAATTTGACTCACTCAAATATTTCCATCCATGTCGAATTGAAGAGATAATGAAAAGGTCAAATTAATCAAGTACCATACCTTCGTATGAACTTTGAAGTAAAAATTTAGAATAACATTACAGCTTGTGAGTAATTTTATTATTCATGCTAAATTATTTGTATGAAGACATGTTTTAGTTTACTTTTCAGAAACAAATTAAGTATAGCGTTCGATTCGTTTCGTTGAACTTTGAAACATTTGTAAAATTTATTTTCACATTATTTATATTATTATTAGTATCTATTTATATTGTGACAAAAATTATCTTGATCTACGTACAATTTGAACGTTTAATTTAATAATTTTCTTTCAATAAATATATAATTGTCATTATATATTTATATCAAGTGTATTGGACTATAACTGAAGCAAATGAAACATCTCTTTAATATTACGGAGGCAAATTGAATTTCTGTTGCGGAAATGATATTCGCTAACAAACTCAATTTTGACAAGTACAAGCTTAAGCGTAGATTACTTGCGACTCACCTGAAGTGTACGCATTAGTCACATCTCAAAATTGATTTTTAAGAGGAAGTCTCTTTTAAATGTCATCATAGAATACTTATGGGTATAATACATGTTTAACTATTTGAAATTCAGTTGTATAGATGAATTAACTAAATAGAGCAAATATTAAGATCGCTATAGTACTGTGACTTGACAGTGGATTCTTAAAATATGTACTAAAGTGTTTAGTTTTTGTTTGTTTGAACGTACGGTTTCTGAAAGTACCAAAATGGATTGATAGAAGTTTCATTTGCATTTTAAATAAAAGATTTATTATTTAGAAAGAATCTATATTCTATCATCACAATTCATAGAAGGGCCTCACATTATATAAATAAGCTATTTGTACCAAGGAAACTTAATATTAAAGTGTTTTTGATTCTAAAGTAGCTGAACGTTTGTCTATATCCACTTATCCCTTTAACTGTTAAACGACTTTAACGAAACTTTCGAGACAAAAGAGAGGAATAAAATGTTTACCTCGAGATAAATTAAAAAAAAAAGCTTAATCGGTTTTAACCTAACTTTTACTGTCTTTAAGGTTCAATCGAAAGTAGCATAGCCTTAGTACGGTAAAACTGTTTTGTATTACAGTAAAAAGAAAGATTTGATTTGATGAGATGAGGTTCAGTGTGTATCGCTATGTGCAAATCGCTAGTACCTATATGCAATTTAATTTGAATTTGTTTTTTTTTTTGTAGTTGTCAGCGTCAGGCGAGATCGGCGGAGCGATAGATACGGTGGTACGCCGCTATCGCCTTGAAAATGGAAACTCACTTGGCGAAAAGGATGAAGTAAGGAACTATTTTTGCTACATTTTTGAATTCAAATTTTGATTTCAAAAATAAAATTAATCAAAAAACATATATTATTAAAATTAGTTATATAATGTGAAACCAGCAAATAAGTTACTTCTTATCAATGTACCTACCATATGAACGGAGCTGTCGACGTAACTGGTAATATCAAAATGAAAATTCTTTTACATTTGTCATAGATTATAGTATATGTTCACAAGCTGTATACAAACAACAAAAACAAATAAAAACTGTGTACAATCTCTATTTAAATTCGTACCAAACAGAAATTTAAAATATATTTAATACGTCCAACAGAAAGCATGCATGCGCTTTACACTATTTATTTATTTATTTATTTATGTTTAGTAGTCCACAAAACAAATGACAATCAAATACGTATAAAATAAGAATAGCTTGCAAAATTAATGCACAAAGATTGCATTTTTCTAGATGCAGACACAGCATGCATATACAACAAAACTTAATATTACAAAAAACAAGATTTAACCTATGGTAACAATGAGGAACGGCTTTTATCTACTAACGTTATTACGTAATAACTAATAACAATTAATGGACGATGATGTTATATTTCTACAGTAACTTAAGATTAAAAAATAAGATTTTAATAATTTCAAAATGGCCTATTAATAATAAATAATAAATTGCTTAACATTATATAGGTTCTTTACGTAGTTAGTCGAAGTCAGCGATTGGGAGGGCGGGTATTTCTGCTGAGAGGGAAACTTAACAAAGTGCTCTTTCATTGATTAGTAAATAACATAAAACTGTTAACTTCAAACACATAACCTTGCGAAGTAGATAGAAGGTACAAAGTTTCTGCGCTTACTCTGTTATTCGCTTTTTGCTATTATTAGGAAGGCGCGTAAACGTTTGAATGAATTTAACCCTAAGAAATTCAGTTTTGGAGACGTATTTAGGTAAATTAAGAGAACTATTTAATTTTATACATTTACTAACGTCTCACCCTCGCGTCGCCTCGCTCGGGTTCGTCCCTAGTTACATTTTATTTTCTCAGTTTAAATTTCTCAGAGATAAGATATTTTCCAGCAGTAAAAAGTATCCTGTATTAATATATTATCCGGGTTAACACCCGGATAACCACCTATCATTATACCAAATTTCATCAAAATCTCTCCAGTGGTTTTCTCATAATGGGGCTACAGACAGACAAAAATTCTTAAAACTATAGCTTCGACCGATGTATCAATAACAACGTCTATTTCAATGAGATTTTCCCAAAAATATTAAATGTACAGATTCGACTCTGTTAGTATTTTATTGTATAGATTAATACGTTAATGTTTTTTTTTTATTTCAACTGAAAAAGAATTATGAATAATTATTTATTATTTATTTATAATACTTAAAATTATCTTCTTATCCTAATTTAGCTATTAAAAAATTTACTATTTAATATTCCTTACAGCTTTTCGGCCCGCCCAGCGCTCCGGTACTTGAAAACCCAGAGTTCCAAACGCGCTGGTACTTCAAGTACTTTCTTGGCAAAAGTAAGTTCTCACATGCTTCCCTTTTTTTTAAACTTCAAGTATCGAATAGAATTTTAATTTTTTTATTAAAATATTCTATTCGAAATATATTTTTCTTGATACAATCAGTTGTATATGTGAAGGTAAATAAAAAGAAACAATTATATATCACACATCATATGAGGTCTAAACGTCATATTTATCTTTGACTGTTTTGAGTTTGATACGAAAAGTTAAAAATATATGGCTTTGACGCGACGTCCATCATCAACTGACGCTACTTTCGAGTATTCGTAATAGACCACAGCATTGCTATCGAAAACACCTAAGAAAAGGAGTAAGACAGCATGATAGTAGAACCACTTATTTATTCTTTACTCATTATCATATCGCAATAAATACGGTATTAAAATTAATACCGTATTTAATAAATAATGCTGTTAAGTAGCCACACCTGAGTGTAGCAATTAATGCCGATAAATTACCTACGTGTTCATTTTATTGCCTTCACAAAAAAATTCAATACGGCGAACTGCGAATCTGTGTGTTGGTCAAAGTGGCTAATTTGTAGTATTTATAATAATTATTATATATCTAACTATTATTATGATATCAAAAGTAAATAAAACGCATTAAGGCAAAATGTTCCAGCATGTGAAACTATAAATTGGGTTGGATGTTTTCGTGCTCACGTGTGTCTAGGATGTTATCTATTTATGAGTAATATGTCAAATAACATCGCCATCCAAGTTGTCGCTTAAGGTCTAACGGCGTTATAAATGTCATTACAAAAATTACACGTTAAACTGAGGTCACACTTACGCTCAACGTTTATTTGTATTAGCTTCAATGTTTAGCACTCGGAGTTTTCGGCGTTCACTTTATCTTTATTATAACTTTTTCAATACAATTTACCAACTATAGTAGATATGTACTAGTAGCAATACTGATTATACATTCATATTGAGATATACATATATTCATAAACTTAAAAACCATTTATCATTATTCATTCGGCCAAATTTGTTTTACAATAATGTAGTCATCCAACCTTCCTTTCCACTTTTAATTTTGCTGCCAATTGTGGTTTCGTGTCGCTCGCAACAATTTAATATCACTGGTACCGTCCTATTGAATAATACATATAATACAGAGAACTCAGAGTTTGAACTTCTCAGTTAATTGAAATGTTTTAGGTCAGTTGAAAATATAATTAATTAACCAAATTTCATTATAGCCGGTTTCAACGTAAATAAATTTGTAAACCTTTGTAAACCATTCACTCATTTTGCTTCCTCAAATGAATCTCAAACATACATATTATAATATTTAAAATGTAGCAGGTCGATATAATTATATAACGGTAATTGAACAAGCATCGTTCCCGGACTAAGTAACGTCTAATCCATTTGTCACTAGTGGAGAAGTTCGAGATTGTACATAATAATTTATGTCCTTATTTCTGTATTATTTTCAGTCTTACACATACATTTAATATCTTAACATCTAAAAGATATTACGTTCTAAGTGCAATACCATGTAGGCAATCTTACTTGTTGTAACCCAATAAATATTAAAGAGGCTTATTATGACTTGTCTATTTCGTCGTACTTTTTCGCACAAAAAATAGTAAATAGATTGAATTATTCAGTAAAACAGTGTATATGTTATTATTAAAGCTTAGCAACTCAGGTATTGACGTGGACGAAAACAAGTTTCAACATAATATACGAATATACACGTACTCTCACCCACCAGTGTTTTTCTTGTACCTTGTAATGTGCTTATTAGTGCTTAACTGTCTCGGTGGTGTAGTGGCTAGCATATACGGCTGCACACCTGGAGGTCCTAGGTTTGAGTCCCGGGTCAGGCCAAGTTTTAGTTATTGAGTCATTCTATATATTAAGCCTCAGTAACAGCCCGGAGTTGGGACGTTGGCGGTGTTTCACCCCCGGGCCTGGGAGAGCACGTAAAACCGTCGGTCCTGCGCCTTAAGTCTTAACTCTCACCGGTCGTGTCAAGTAGTCGTCCCACCGGAGTATGAGAGCGATAGAAATAGAGAGTGCACTTGTGTCTGTGCGTACACTTGTGCTTCATAATATCTCCTGCGCAGTTGGCTAATCTCAATGAGATTGGCCGCCGTGGCCGGAATCGGACAGGAGGACATTATTATTATTATTAGTGCTTAAAATAAAAAATAAGCTAAAATCAATTATTTTTATGATTAGTGCTTAAAATAAAAAAATAGCTGATATCGTCCATCTACCGAAAGTAGCGTTAAAACGCATCGTTCCGAATTTTGCCGGTGCATACATGCAGATACAATTTAATGAATACGCGCAAGATTTATAATAATATGTAAACGCAATGCTATCGGTAAAATCGCAATGTGGCATACACTTCGTAGAAACATAAGTTTTTTATGTTGTTGGGTATTTTTGGTGATTGATAATAAGCTTTTACGTGAATTCATTTATAAAATGTGTATATAATCATTATAATAAATGACTGAAAAGGGATTTATTAAAGCGCAGTCAGATAATCTTCAGCGGATAGATTTACCCGCTAAAAATATCGAGTTACTTTACTTAGTCCTAAACTGAACTGAAGTTAAAGGAGTATAAGCTTCGAGGTAATCTCATTCAAAATGTGATAAATATATAACTCTTTAAACACTTAATACATACATAATTGTACATATTAATTTGAACAAATAAATTTTCTCCAGTCTAAAAGTATACTTTTATTGCTTATTATTTTTTTATATAAAATAAGAATACACATTAAATTGTGAATTTCATATGTCCTCCTAACAGAATTTCAAATTATATAGAAATTCGGGCCATATTTTTTAATTAAGTTTAAAACCAATCAATTTTACTGGAATGGCGAACTCTAACACTGTTACAAAATAAATAAACATATTTCAATAAACAATGTGTATGTTTTATTATCGATATAATATTAAAGTATCTGCTGAGTGCATTATGAACGAACTAGAAAACATTCTTTTTTGGTTTCTTTAGAAAATTACCAAACATTTTCAAAGCTTTAATAATTGCTTTATTGTAATATTGTTGTAATAATTTTAAAAATTGTATAACTATTAACTACGAATTTTAGATCTTTATATTTATATACATTTTTTTAATCTTTGCCGAGTTATAAAAAAAATCATTTGCAATCGTAAGCAATGTTAATAATGTATTAGTCCCTTAGGAACGTCCAAAATTTGACCTTTCAAACAAGAGGATTAAAGTGTCCTTATAGCAAAGTTTGAGTATCACTGAAGTGGAACTTGGTCGAGAACAGCTGACACAATTTTTTCAAACAATCTGTTTGAACAAATCACAGGATCTTGAAAGCTTACAGCTTAATATGTTAATTGGAGTATTCATAATAAAGACTATTCGTCTAACATATTTTACTGCCACATTTTTGTTACCTTTTAGTAAAATAAAAAAACTTCATTCTTAGATACAGGGATTTTTTGGCCCTCTATATGAAAAAAATTCCCCTACTTATGTTTGTCACCTCAAAACTCTATAATTTCTTATCCGATTTGGATATTTTTTGTTTTGTTCAAACTGTACACTTTCAATTTAAAAAAAAAAAAACCACCCCTTAGAGTGGAAAAATAGCTAATGTTCCGATATCTGATGATCTGTTCCGTATTATTATTCCGTTAATATCCGTTATTTCCGTTAATAGTGCAGTGGCTTGGTATCGTCGACCTGATCTGATGGTAAGGTGGATAGGAGGGACTCTTCAACGGCTAATAGTAAATATTTTGAGTTTGGACTTATTTAGTTTGACAAGCCCAATCCGTTGGAATTGGATTTTAGACCCAGAACTTTTAGTGTCACTAATAAAAGCGAATTTTAGTTTGACAGTCTTATTATAAAAATTGGCATCAAACTAACTTAAACGCCTTAAACGAATATTTAATTAAAATACTTTCTTCTTACTTTGCTACGACTATGTCTACACTAAAAAGGGAAAAATAAAAACTTTTCAATAAAAACATCAACTTCAAAAAAAATCTTTATAAAGTAAAAAATAATTGATTGGTACTTTTCATTTACTATAGAAACCTAATCAAATCAAAGCAAACCGACTACTAAAAGTTTGTGTTTATAGGAATAAAACAAGTCCAAGTTATTTATCACAAACCGGAAATAGTCCGCTAATAAATTGTAATCGTATACTGCAGTAAAATTTTTCAACAAAAACTAATTTAAAACTACTACAAAAGTCTCGATACAATACTGGGAAATATTAATATTAACATTCATGAGCGGCTGCATTCCTTAGATATTTCTAGAAAGAGTACCTAGAATCTAGATATTAAAAATACCTTTGATCTTAGTTCTATTTTTTAAACACATATTACGTATTAATAAATATATTAATAAATGAAATTATGTATTAATAAATGTTAATTGAACCTGTATAAGTAATTAAGAATATTTAAAAATTTTACCATCATTTAATCAGATTGATACTAAGTAGGTATATTAGCTCTACTATTATATCTTACTTACATATTATATACAATACATAATATATACATATATGATACTATATACATATTTACACACCTGGGATGCGTGCATTTCGTCTTTGTCCAATTTTAGTGATCAAGGTTCTATATCAAAGTTCTTAATGCAAAGAGTTCAAAATCCCTTATAAAACTTAGCTGTCGTGTCGGCACATACTTCTAAATGGGTGAAATAAAAATAATCTTTTTACAGCATACATGTGACACAAAAACTTAAAGCGATTAATTTGTAAAAAATCTATTTATATTATCATGTATAAAAATATATACGTAAAAGAGGGTTCTACTCTTCTGGTTCCTATCAATGTTGTTTTGGTAAGCCTATCCAATGAAGTTTTGGCTCACAAATACTCTAAATTTACAATAGTTGAAACAGCGAACAAAATATTTAAAAAATATGAAAAAAAAAATCAAAGAATAAATAGGCTTATACAAATTATTATGATACTCATTTTTTTCA